GGGGGAGATCAATGTATCTCTTTTAGATTTTAACCATGTTATAACGAGTCCGAAATCATAGACAAGGTTTTGCAAAGATAATTAATTGTCTAGCTTGTGGTGATTTTTTTTGTACAGGCTACAGACGAAGTTATTATTATGCAGGTTTACTTTACCCCCACCATTGAAGGATCCCACATTTCCGGATTTATCTTCAGAGTTTTTAATAATGTAATATGAGGATTCTACATTTCCACCATTTATTATTCGTGCAGCAGATGTTTATTTTAAATAATGGTGATATTTTATAATCATGGATGATGACATGTCTCTTCTCAAAGATTGGGAAAGGTAAACAATAGCCCCTTCTTTGAACTTACTTGACCAAGGAGGCACATCCAAGGTCTTCACTCTCTACGGGGCCACATTCGGGTCGCCGTTTTGTCAACCACGAAAGATACTAAGTCTTGTTACTTGTTTCAGAAATATAGGGCGGTGGAAAGGGGCGGAGGATGGGGTCGAAATTTACTTTTACCCAAAATTGTATATTATTAAACAAATGTTTACTCCCTACTAAAGGGCTCTCCGTTAGCTCAGTTGGAATCATGCTAGATTACAGAGCGGATGGCCCTGGCTCGAATCCCAGACATAGAGTTTATGAACTCCGATAGTTTTGTAGAGTTTTTGTAGGCTTTCAAACCATTTGGCTTGGTCCTATCGGAGACGGACGTTAAATTCAGAGGTTCTCCACCTCTCAAATAACCTTTGAAGTTTTAGTAGAGGTTTTACGGCGCTCGTAAGGTCATATGAGCGCCAAACAGATAACCTTACAATTGACAGGAGCGTTAAATGTTCAAAAGAAAGTGTCCTCCACATCCTAAAACAATAGTAGGCCTGTGCATCTCGTCATCAAGAAATCAGACGCAGATATCCTGTAGCTTTGTTCGTTTCTCAAATACAAGCATTTTTAGAACACTCTACCGGCGGCTGTGGAGTAGAGGTTAGGAACTCTGCATGAGTTCGATTCCCATGTGTGTGTGTGGGGG